TGTAAACCGCTTAGAGAGGGCTGAAAGCCCTATGAAGCGGTATATAAGTCTAACTGCTATTGCTATTGCTATAAGTCCCCAAATGGGTCTCTAATGCCATCCTGAGACTGGAGACAGGCCTGATAAAAGTGGAATCTAGAGTGTGGGTGACATACTCAATTATTAGCTCAGACTGCTTTTTTTCATGAATGAAGGTGAATATAGGTGTCTCGGGATAATGTTGCAGTATCCAATCTGAATCGGTCACTGGGACCAGCAGTTTTGTCTTTCAGGTTTTCGGCCTCATACTGGAGCCCATCTTCAGGGAACTTCTCTCTAGCAGAGTGTGTGCACTGAAGATGGGCTCACGTCCAAAAGCTCAGATGATAGAACCACTGGATGACCAACCCAGATTAGATCCTATCCTTCTTTTCACATTTGGTCTTGCCTCATTTACTCTGAGGGATGACTTTCAGTTGACTTTGAAGAAACAAACAATGGCAAGTGAAATCTCTCCAGGTTTTCCATTCAGCATGAGTTATGACGATCAGGCCAAAACTCTCATTAAATAGTGTGTAGCAGACACAGAGCACTAATTGGACTTAGCCAAATCCCCAAACTTTATTGCCAATGAATCCAATAGGTACTCTGTCTCCCTTGTGACATACCTAGCTAAAAATACCTAACAACCAGAGACCTTTACCCTGGTACAATGTCATATCCTCAGCTGTCCTTGAAGACTGATAACAGGAAAATTCCCTACCCAGAGAGACAGTGCCCTTGTAACTCGGGACACTCAGGAACAACACAGCACGTATTTTTCCAGTGCCTGTTTTACAGAGAAATCCATACTAGTATCATCTCACCATTATGATATAAATACCTAGAGTGCATAGGACAATTCCACATCTTCCTGTTGCTTGCAGATCCTAATCCTGCTACAACTTATAATGTTGTGAGGTCCTGGGCAGCAGTGCATCATTGTGGATCTGTGCCATAAACTAATCTTAATGAGTGTTTAATTTGTTGTTTAAGAATTCCTTGCATTGTGATAGATTTAGTCCGCCCTATACTAGATTTGTGGCTCAGTGGCTAAGATGCTGAGCTTGTTGATCAGAAAGGTTGGCAGTTCGGTGGTTGAAATCCCTAGCGCCGCATAACAGAGTGAGCTCCTGTTACTTGTCCCAGCTTCTGCCAACCTAGCAGTTCGAAAGCACATAAAAAATGCAAGTAGAAAAATAGGGACCACCTTTGGTGGGAAGGTAACAGCATATAATATTCTTGTAAGCTGCCTTGAGACACACAGTGGTTCAGTGGCTAAGATGCTGAGCTTGTCGATCAGAAAGGTCGGCAGTTCGGTGGTTGAAATCCCTAGCGCCGCATAACAGAGTGAGCTCCTATTACTTGTCCCAGCTTCTGCCAACCTAGCAGTTCGAAAGCACATAAAAAATGCAAGTAGAAAAATAGGGACCACCTTTGGTGGGAAGGTAACAGCATATAGTATTCTTGTAAGCTGCTTTGAGACACACAGTGGTTCAGTGGCTAAGATGCTGAGCTTGTCGATCAGAAAGGTCGGCAGTTCGGTGGTTGAAATCCCTAGCGCCGCGTAACAGAGTGAGCTCCTATTACTTGTCCCAGCTTCTGCCAACCTAGCAGTTCGAAAGCACATAAAAAATGCAAGTAGAAAAATAGGGACCACCTTTGGTGGGAAGGTAACAGCATATAGTATTCTTGTAAGCTGCTTTGAGACACACAGTGGTTCAGTGGCTAAGTGG